CTCCCGAATGACACGCTTAATCTTTCCTATTTTCCCAACACCAACGCCAATAAGTGAACCAGAGCAACCAGAAAACTCTTCTTGTAATACCATGGAACTCCCTTGAAACCTTCCTAAGAATTTCCATGGAATCCTTCTTAGTTTTTTTTTCTTAACTACTGTGAGAATTCAATCCCTTCTGAATAATTCTCAAAAATTTTAATTGAACTCTAGCCAAAACTCTTCTCAGAAATCTTTTGAAATACTCTTCAGAAAAACTTTTGAATTGTTCTCAGAAATATCTTGTCCTGTTCTTTAACCTTTTCTTAGAATGTCTTTTTACGTTTTCTCCATTTTTTTTAATTAACATCAGATTACGATTTCTTTGGTATTTTTCTTTGAGTTCCTTTAAATACTGTTGCCTTAACAAGAGATGAACTAGCCTAAGGCTAAAAATCTCTAAAATAAAGGAAAAAAAAAATATTGCCTTAACATTTGTTAATAATTCTCTTTGAATGCTCGTAAGAATTCTATTGGGATTTTAATTAAATTAAATGTCCCACTGTTCTCCTCAAGATCCTTCCATGAAGTTCTCCCCACAACTCCCTTGGAATTATTCTAATAATAGCATAGGAGTTCATTTAATTCTACTACTATTGTATCACTTTCACTATCACTTTTAAAAATCTTTAACAGATACGTATTTCGTTTAATACTTGCAAACTTCTTCAAAACCCTTATCTTCTATTCCTTATAAGATATATCAACGCTCATCAATCAATGTACATAGTTAAGAATTCACTTCAGCACTTCCTTTCTTCTTCCTCAGAAAACCATTGGAATTCATCTCAGATCAAACAATTTGGCATTTTTAATCATCTTTAAAAAAAAATTCAAAAATCAGAAGGCCATTTGAGTCATTTCGGTTTTTAACGTTTCATATTTTTGTGATTTTTACTTAAAATAAGGGCTAGATAAGAAATGCCGTTTCAGCTACAATTTTATGAAAAATTTCAAAGACGACATTTTGAAAATTTTATAAGATCTAAAATGGCATAAACAAAGCCACTAACAAACAATTACGCGAAGCATCATACAAATCAGAGAAGGTTGATTAAAACATTCAATTTATGTTTTGCCATTTTGTCCGGAACTGCTCCATTATTCCATGGTTTTCTATTTTTTTTTATTATAGTCACTTTAACACTCTTGGGTCATTTGTGACTTGACCGGGGGTGAGATTTGAACTCGTGACTTTGGCGTGAGAGGTATGGATGTTAACCACTACTTACTTAACGATCCTGCGCTCCTCCAGGGGTGCAAAGGGCCTTTGTGAAAGATTTCCATCCTGGGCGATTACTAGCTTTGGCCTTGACCTGTGCCCAAGTAAAATTTCGGTCAACGTTCTTAATTTCACTATTTAGGCTCCGCCGACACGAGCCTATGGGTCTGCCTCTGCTGCGTTGTCCTACTGGTTTCCAGTCCAGTGCTTTCTTGCAGATTTCGTTTCCGCCCCGTCGAAGTGTGTGGCCAACCCACCTCCACTTCCGTTCACGAATTTCTGTCTCTATCGGCTTTTGATGGCACAAACGATGAAGCTCGGAATTTGAGATCCAATTGTGGGGCCACCAGGCACGAATTATGGCGTATAACAGCACAGACTTCACGTTGCAGTTAAAAATTCGGATTTTGGTGCGTCGACTGATCTGTTTCGCTCTCCATACATTTCGCAAACTGGCAAAAGCAGCCCTCGCCTTCTTAATCCGTGCACCTGTGTCGCTCTTGGTGCCGCCGTCCGACGCTATCTGGCTGCCAAGATATTGGAAGCTTTCGACTTTCTCGACTGCCTGCCCAGCTACCATGAAATTGGAACGGTTTTCCGTGTTGACATCCAACGATTTGGTCTTGTTGACGTTGATGGCGTTGATGGTTAGACCTGCTTCAGAGGAGCGTTCCACAAGGTCGTCGAGCTTACTCTGCATGTCAGAGCGCCGTTGTGCTAATAACGCAACATCATCAGCCAAATCGAAGTCGTTGAGATGCTCCTTGGTAATAGGTTGCCACAGCCACCCACGGTTCGGTATACGGTCAACAGCTCCAACCATGATCTCGTCGATTACGATGAGGAACAGTAGCGGTGATAATATACATCCTTGCCTCACACCCGCGATTACCCGAATCGGGTCAGACAAAGCTCCGTTGTACAACACTCTGCATGAGAAAGGGACTCCCTTGCGTATCAGAGTGCCCCTCAGTTTTCGTGGTTTAGTCGGTCGAAAGCTTTTTCGTAGTCAATGAATACCAAGTACAGAGACTCTTGGAACTCATTGACCTGCTGCAAGATAATGCGGAGCGTGACAATTTGGTCCACACAGAATCTTCCAGCACGGAATCCTGCCTGCTGTCGCCGGAGAGTCGCGTCGATCTTCTCCTGTATCCGATTGAGGATAACATTACACAGAACTTTGAAAACAATACACAGTAACATGATGCCTCGCCAGTTGTCGCATGCAGTTGGATCCCCCTTCTTGGCGACTTTTACCAAGACGCCCTGCATCCAGTCGACCGGAGTCCTAGATTTATAGCTTCATCCCAGGATTTCTAGCTCATACCCAGGATTCTAGCTCCCAGGATTTCTAGCCTCACTGGCGAGCTGTTCCAGTTCACCCTGTTGAGCTAGCGTCAGTACATGTTCCAATTCTTGTCCGTTGTTTAGCACTAAAAGTCGTTGCCATAAAATCAGTTCGTAATCTTTCACTATAGGTTTCTGTAACAATTTGAAGGTTTCGGAGACAGTAGGTGGTTGGCCTAAGCTCTCCTATCCGCCGTGATGGGACTGCCATCTTGGGTATAGCTTTCGGGGAGAAGCATTTCGTATTCAACCCCTAACATGGAGAACAGACGCTCGGGTTTTGGAAGCCACATCCTCCGAAAAGGATGCAGCTCCCCCTTCCCTGTCAGCATACGACCAAAGTTCCCACCGGGGTTGGTTACTCGTACCCCAGCCGGCGCCGCGGGGAGGAAGGGATAGCAGTTACTGGGCAAGAGGCTAGGACCACTTTCACTTGCGTGACGGGTCTATTTTATAACCTTCAAGTACGCGAAGTACCGGTGGTACGCATTATTCCAGTCATTTGCCAGCCTGTTAATCGCTACGCCGGCGCCTAATTAGTTTTAATAATATTTTGTAGTTTTTATACTTCTCCGATGACTAAGGATTTTCAAATTATTTTCTGCCATTAACTTAAAGCTATTTTGTAGTTTTTTGTAATCATTTTGGACTTACAACATCTCTATTCAATATTGGTGAGTCGCAAGCTTATGGAATTTATTAAAGTGGGTCGCAATACATACAAGTTTGAGAACCGCTGGTCTACCGTTTTTATAAAGATGTTGACGCCTAAAGAAGGATTTTCAAGTTGCCTTGATTATTTTATCGTTTTTAACGTCATTTTGGGTTTGCTAAATTATGTAGTGTTTTCAATACTATTCTAATTCTACTATATTAGAGTCATGCAATTGTTTTGATAACTATTTTGGTTTATCAGACTATTTTCGCGCAATGCCGTTTTTGGTTTGATTTGCTTAATTTGATTTTGTGGCTACTACTACGGCAAGTTTCAGGTCATTTTGCGTTGTTTAGGCTTTTTTTTTTAGTTTTTAAACTCATCTTGATTTTTTTTTTCTCGCTGTTTTGGAATTTCTAAGCTATGTATACCTTTTAAGATCATTTTGGCCTTGGTGGGTACCGTGTTTATGAAATTCCTCCATATGATTCACAATCATCGCATGTTTGAGAACCGCTGCTATAGCCATTATAAAACCCATCGGACATCGCCTCCATGTCCCAGTTCGTTCCAATTCCGAATTCTCAGCACATCGTCCATCAACACTTGCTAGGGAATTGACGGATGCGCTATTAGAAGCTACCAACCACCATCAAGCGAGAAGCTGCTTCAAACTCTTCTCCCCCGAGAGGGAGAGTCTCTCGGTGAACCACTTCTTGGCACCTTCACACGAACATTGAACTGAACTGATGCATGATACCCCCCCCCCCCTCTCCTTACGTGTTGATGATCCTCACAGTTGCACGCCGGGAGTGAGAAGGTGTATGATAATTTCATGCAAATTGTGTTTTCCATCGACTTCAAGTGTGCTTCCCAAATGTGTGTGCTTTTACATTCCACAGAAGTGCTGCTGGCTGGTGCCTTGGCTTTGCACTTCCCACTGCTCAAGAAGAGTTGAGCTGAAAGCGGAATCGGTATCTCAGTACCTCTACGTACGAGTGATTTAAAATTCAATTTCACTGTAGGAGAAGTTTTATTTGGTAAGACGTATAACGGTAATGCTGCTGCCGTTCAGTGGGGAATGGACTTGCTCCACCTAGTTTCGATTCGATATCGCTTTGAATTTCAAAGGGTGATCCCTCTGCTGCTTTTTTAAAAGGTGTCGGATTATGTCAGTTTATAGTTTGATTTACATCTGATTTGTGAGTCAATTTGTGCCGTTTTGATGGCTCAATTTAATTAAAACGAATGCATTTCGGTTTGGGCTCAAAATAAAACGGTTGACATTTTCCCAGCGCTCGGATTTGACCCGGTTTTTGGAGGCAGGAAGGGTGATTTATGTGACTTTAGCCTAAAAAATTGTTCACTGACTACCCGAAATTATCGTTTTCTCTTTCGCATGCATGTCGCCCGGACCGAAAATCAACCTAGTCATTTTCCGCTGAGCTATATAATTTGCATTGGGTTCCGACCGAAAGCCTCTTCCCTTCGGATTCCGTCTGCACGGCAGGTGACCGACTTTCGCGCGTTCCGTCTGTTGACAACGAAATTATCATTCACCGTACGTGCGCCACTGAGCTACTAAATTTGGCGCACGCAAAGTCTTCACCGAAAAATGCCATGTCTCCGTTGTTTCGATCCCGACGGCACGGAGTTCAAGTTCAAATGACTCGCTTTATTTCGAAAGCTCAAAAAAAGACTAATTTTCTCCTTTTCTCCTCTGAAAAATTCCAGGGCGAATACATCAAACACCCGGTACTGTACGAACTCAGTCACAAGTATGGACTCGCAGACAACCTACCGGAGAGCCTACTGCCCAATCGGCTGGAAGAGATCAAAGAAGCCATCCGGCGGGAGATTCGCAAGGAGCTCAAAATCAAAGAAGGTGCGGAAAAACTCCGGGAAGTGGCCACCGACCGCCGTTCGCTCTCGGACGTGGCCTCCATAGTCAAGAAGAGCAACAACAAGCTGGCAGAACTCAAATCCGAACTACACGAGCTGGAAAGCCAGATCATACTGACGCAGGGCAACAGCGTCAGCAGCAGCAACGGACAGGGTAAGTTTCGCGCACTTTCACTCATGGGTAATTTTTATAAATTTCTGCATGCCGCCACCAGCGATTGACGCCATGCCGGCTGTTACGACACCGCATCACGCTTTTATGTGTGTGCGATAATGATTGTTTGGAATTTTCGGTGCAAATATCGCAAGCACATCTCTCCACTGTCAGCGGGGGTGGTGTTGTTGAACTTTTCCACTCGTACGACGGAGGAGAGCTATATGCAAGCAACCGAGCCGACGGACGGACGACGACCAGAAGCGCAGAAAAGCAGCGCCAAAGATAATCCAATCCAATTATCGGCAATTTTCAAAGCGATGTTTCTTCTTTTGTTTCAGTTCAGTATGCTGTAATGTGGCACTGATTTAATAATAACAGGAAAACAAACAATTAACACTGATAATTCGAATCGCTTTGCACACAGCCTGCAATACGGTCGTTTTACGGGTTGCGAGAATGGAGCGAATACGGTAAAATGTGGATGAATGGATTTTAGATATGGTAGAAGTTTTGTAAATTTTAATATTGATTTAAAATTAATCAAAAAATGTCGGCTTGACCACTATCATACCCGATGTGATCCTTTCACAGAATTTGAATTGTTCCACAAAATAATAAGTCTTTTTTTTTTACACGGTATTTTACGCGTTTTTTTTTTACATAGCGATTGCGTCTTTGTGGACTGTGTAAAGCAAAAAATTGTGTAACGAAATAGTGTTAGGTTTTATAAGCTTATATCTTGGCCATTTATTTATGGATTTAAATTCTTTTCCCACCTTTTGATTCAAAATTGATGTGAGATTTGTTTGGTATACAGATTATAGTAATTTTAATCTACAGGGTGTCTACTACCTGAAAAAAACCTGGAAAACCGGGAATTTACAGGGAATTTTATTTTTTCTGGAACAACCTGGAATATTCAGGGAATTTTGGTTCCACTCGAGGAATTTTCCAATTATCACTTCATTCGTAATTCAAAAGAAGTTTTTCGTTCAGTTTCTCGAAACGTTTCTGAAGGACACTGAACTTGACAAGCATCTGACAGCTAAGACAACGTGTGCGAACGAGACAAGTTCATTCAGAGAGTCTTGTCACGCTCGCTCTTCGCTGATTTGTATGTGGAGGATCAAAACCGTCGTAAAAGGAAACAGCCGAAAAAGAGAGACTGGCAACCGTCAAAAGGAAGCATACGAAGCATGTATTGTATAAGAATAAGCATGCCAGATAGCAGGTCTGAGACCCAAAATAGAATTTTTTTTTTGAGCTTCAGAGAGGGTCGGAGATCTACTGAGAAATTTGTTGAGCTTCAGGGTAGTTCGTAGATCTACAAACAAATTAAAAGTTATTAACAGAAATTCATTAAAACAAAATCACAAGAGAGGTCGTAGATCTTCAGATAAATGTTCAAAGAAATTTTCAAAACTTCAAGCAAACAAAAATAATTTCAAATCAATTTGTAAAACTATAAGCGAAATTTTACAAATCTTCAGGGAAATTCGCATAACTTCAGACAAGTCCAAGAATCTACAGTGAAACAATTTCACAGAAGTTTGGAGATCCTCGAAACATTATTCAACATCACAAAAGTTCGTAGATCTTCAGAACAAAGCTACAGAGCTTTGAAAAAAATCACAGGACTTCTGAAAAAATCACAAGAATCTCAGAAATGTTAATGGATCTTCAGTAAAAATTGCAGAACTTCAGGGATTTAAAAAAATAAATATTTACACGATTTCAGGAAAATTTGTAGATCTTGAGAGAGACATTTAAAACTTCAAGGAAGCTCAAATATTTTCTGATAAATTTTGACAACTTTAGGTAATCTTCAAGGAAATTTTCAAATCTTCAGGGTAACCCTAGAGGAATTTACAAAACATCAGAGAAGTTTGCAGATCTACTGAGAAATTTATGGAGCCTCAAGTTTTTTTTTGTAGATCTTGGGAATAGACCTACGGAGCTTAAGACAACTTTACAGAACTTTAAAGATATTTGCAGGAATTTGACGGAAAGTTTCACAGTTTCACACAAATGTGAGAACTTCAGAAAAATTCGTTAAATGTCAGAAAAGCATCTCAATTCCAAAAACAAATCGCAGCGAAGTACAAAAGTACAATATTTTGCAGAACTCCATGGAAGTCTGAAATAGATAAATCTAAAGAACTTCAGAGAAGTCCGTAGACCTTAAGAGAAGTCTGTAGAACGTCAGAAAATTCTTACGTTTTTAGAAAAATTTGCAAACCTTCAGCAAAACTCGCAGATCTTCGGGAAAGTTCGCCGATCTTTAGATCAAGAATCCACAAAGAAATTTAAATAACTTTAGAAAAGTTCGGAGATCTACTGTGAAATTTATTGAACTTCAGGGCAGTTCGTAGATCTTTAGAGCAGAAATACAGTACTTCAGAAAACTTTACAGAATTTGAAATAAATTTTAGGAACTTTAGAAAAGTTCAGAGGGTAGATCGTAAATCTACTCAAAAATTAGCAGATGTTTAAATAAATTTTCAGAATTTTACTGCGGTTCTTGGATTTTGAAAGACATTCACAGAGCTTCAGGTAAGTTCGCTGATCTTTAGAGATATTTGCACAGCTTCAGAAAAATTAGAAAAACTTTAGAATACTTCCTAAAACTTCCGGAAAGTTCAAAAATTTCTAAATAATCTTTTAATTCTTTAGAAAATTGTATAGATGTTCAGAGATATTTGCAGATATTTATTGAATCATAGAAAATTTGCAGAGAAAATTACAGAACTTTCGAGAAGTTTGTAGATTATTAGAAATGTTGTGAACATTAGAGATAATTGTTGATCTTCAAGGATCTTAAATCTTCAGGGATTCAGGAACTTTGTAGGTTTTTAGGAAAATTTGCTGAATTTCTGAAGAACACACAGAACTTCAAAGAAATCTGTAGAACTACCGAGACATTTGCAGATTGTCAGGAAAGATTGTTGATTTTTAAGTAAATTTTACCGGAGAACAGAAACAAAACTTCAGGGACGTCTGAAGGTTAGAAGACCTTGCAGAATTGAGTTGTTAACAGAAATTTTCAGAACTCAAGGAATCATGTATATCTAGTGAGAACTTTTCCCACTAGCTTGTCTAGAGTTGGTATCGACATCCTGGCGAAGTTTTGAAATCCATTTTCATCTTCATATCGCAACTCTTGATGGACAAGATGAGCCAAATCCCTGCCGGTGTTCCTCCTGAGCAACCATTTCCTACTCCACAAAGTTCACCTTCTCTTTCTCATTTTATTTATAATAATAAAAGCAAATACGTCTGCCGAAACTAGAGCAATTTTCCGGTAATTCATGATGGAAGTATTTACTTTTGATTCCTGATACAGTTTTGTTTTGAAATCTAAATTGACAGTTCTTTCGACATGTGCAAGCAGTGTGAACCACCAGCAAACAGGGGGGTTCGATAAAATAATAATGTGTATAATTTGTATGCACCTGGAATTTTTTTCATCCGACCTGGAGAAACCTGGAAAACTCAGGGAATTGGATTCCTTGGATTGAGTAGACACCATTAGTAAACTATTGAAACTTTACTAAACTTTTGGGCCGCAAACAACCAATCACGTGCTCGCTTGCTATGACTATCGAGAGAACACAGAGAGAGAGAGAGAGAGACGACCGGTTGCGAGGTTATAAAAAACCTGTATGTTTTGTTTCAGATCGTCTAGGTATGTGACGGTTGTGTGGAATAATAAATTCGATAAAAAAAACTTGTAATTGGCTTTTGTTCATGCCACAATTGCAGTTCAATCATGATAAAAAAAATTACATTGACCATTTCTGGTTGATAGGAGGTAATCAGACTTCATGAGGGTGTTCTAAGTAGTTTTGGTGATCTTGGTTGATGTGGGTCAATCTTTCTTTAAACATTCTTGAACCTATTTGAAGTTCTATGAGTTTCCCGGAACTTCTCTGAACTTTTCTAATGTTTGAAGTACTCAGAATTCTGAAGTTCACTGAACATTGTGTTTCAACCATGCACTTTATTAATGTTCTTAGTTAAGTTCCTTGATCTTTTCTGAGGTTCCCTGAAGTCTTCTGAGATTCCCTTAAACTTTTTAAGTTAGCCCGAGGTCCCTTTAAACGTCTCTGAAGAGTATTTCTATGGTTCTCCTTGCCTCCTCTTAAGCTCTCTTCTCTGAAGTTCCCTGAATGTTTCTGAGATGCTACAATAAATGATTAAAGATGATTCCATTTAAGTTCGCTGATGTTCACTGACTTTCACTGTCCTTTTCTCCAAAATTAACTAGTCTTCTACTGTGAAGCTCACTAAACTGATCTGAAGTGCCTTTTATTTTATCTTCTTTAATGTTCTTTCAACTTCTTTCAAGTACTATGAGAAGTGCAGAGAATTTCTAAATAAGTTTGAAGAGTTGCTGAAAATGAAGCTATGAAGCTCGGATAACGTCTGAGAGATTCGAAGAACTACAGATAGGTTCAGTGATCCTATAGATGAACACTGAACCTATCTGTAGTTCTCCATGAGCTACACTAAAATGGTCTTTTCTGAAGTTCCCTTGGATGCCACTAAAGAGTATTGTGTGAATCGATCCCAATCTTATCTGAAATGTTCATTCCGACTACTATACGGTTCTCTGAATTTCTTTGAAAACAAAATACTTCAACGTAATTCTTTAAAATTCACAGCTCTTTTCTTTTTAAAATATTGTTTGGTATGGTCTATTTAAAATAAAAAGCTGTGGAGAAGTGCTGAGGTGTTCGATAGACTACAGAGAGGTTTAGCAGACAATGAACTGCTCTAAGGCTCCCCTAAACTACTCTAGAGCTTTCCTGATATTTTCGAAGGTTTACTTGGGCGCCTCTGAAAAGTATATTTATGTCTTCCCTGACACTTTATGAAGCGATCCTAAATTCATCTATCTTCATTCTTCATTCCTTTATTTAACGTCGGTCTCTGTTCCGCAATCTAGTGCCAATCACCGACGGACATCGATTGCCATCCATTGACGGCAATCGAAT